ATGAGTAAAGAAGGAATGTGTGGGAACGCAACAAATACAACTCAGTATTAAAATGAAATTCTGATTACGGACATTCTCCTGCAATTCATTATCGTCGATTAGCGTCGTTTCGCGAATTATATCACGCAGCGTGGTTGAACGAATTTTTTGAATCTCTTTTTCAGTGAATAATCTGAAATTGTGAAGTATGCGGTTGACGGATATCATTATCGTCATTTTGGAACGTTGGAAAGTGGGAAAGAATTTATTTTTGCAATCCTATTTTGTAATTTGCTGTTCAAATTTTCAGAAGATTTGCTTCTAGAATGCAAGTTTTAGGATTGCATTTTGAAAATTTTAGCATTTTGAAAGGTCTCAATCAATTAATTACCCGTTGAAAGTGTTCTCAAACCAGAATCGATCTCCATCACGAAGTCTCAGGAACTGATCGAGAATCACCGCACCGAAAAGTTCTCCAGGTCCCTCTCCGTTTGTTTCGAGAATTCCACCGACGTACGCATCCAACTGAGAGATATCTCCTTTGTATAATGCCTCCAGTTTGCGGAACATCTGAAATGTGGCCGATATGTTGTGCAGTCGAGAGAGATTTTGAGACGAATTCAAAGCTTTGCATGTTCGACTGATTGAAACTCATTAGCAGCAATCACTTCGGAATGACTTTGTGCATAGATAACGAAAATGACAATAAAATTGCTTATTATTGTAAGAAATGTACGTGAAAATAAAGCTGCACCAAAGCACTAACCTGGCGATTCTCATTGTAAAGGTTCGGGTTTATGGTTGACCAATTTTTCGTGGGAAGATTGAAACTCTTTCTGAGTTCGTTGTATGGCGGTAATCCATTGTCACGTCCTCGCATTATTGTACTCGCCACAACATCCAATCGGGTGAAATGCATCGGCCCGAATACAAAATCTTCAAACAGTCACATTTCGTATGCGGATAGATTGGTTTTATGATTTAGGGTGATACGTATGAGGGGAGTTTTGAGAGTGCATCCATTGGGAGTTGCATATTCGCCTTTTTGGACTTGCGTATTTGGAATTCGAAATTGGAAAATTCACGAAGGCTTTAGATAGATTCAGCTTAACTTCCTCAGTTATGTGATCTTAATCTGATCAATTCTCCTGATCAACTGATCTGTACATTTGCTCAAACGCCATTTGTATCACAAATTTAAGACCTTCAACTTGAGCATATTCATTTGCTCCATTTTCAGAAATGTAACCATGCTTTTTGGTCCTATCATTTTCAGCAAGACGAACAGATTTTGAAAAGCNTCAAAAGTTCTTTGTTTCCAAGATACAGCCGTTTGGATGAAATCATCAAATTACATGTTCTAAACTTTGCCTGTTTAGCCGAGCTTGGTTGAACGAGTTTCGCCTGTGCCATCATGAATAAACTTCATTGAATCAGCAGAAATCAATATATCAAGTTTAAGTTCAAAACGAATAATCAAAACATGGAGTTGATATGATGAGTTGATATTTTGATGCAATCACTTGGCATGTGTAAAGCGATGCATGCCATAACGATACGTACCTCTAAGATCCTCAACGACAATGCTGTCCTCACGTTCGGATATTTGCGATGCCATCCCCAGAACGATCTCATCAACCGAATATTCCTGCACGATGTCTTGCGCATTCCACCAGTTCTGACATAGTCTTAGCGCTGGATAGCCACCGATTTCAGTACGAAATTCACATGTTCCATTGTTGCGCTTACGGAACAACAAACCGGGTGGAATCTAAAAGTATCGAATGCTTCAGATTTCTTACGAATTCGACTGCAATTGCGTTTGCCCGCAAGCAATTAATGTGATGTTTAGTGATGTTTTCAGAGTGAATCTGATACTTGAAAATGTTCAAGCAACATCATAACTTGAATGCACTTTTTTCGATAGACTGCTTTCTTCACTTTTGCGATTGCCAAAATGTTATCAATTAATCATTTCACATAACGACAGCCGCGCATAAAGAAAAGTTTTTCAAATCAT